CCTTGCAGAACCTTGGGTGTCCTGTTGCTTGTCCTCGAGATGGTCCTTTTACAGCTCTTGATGGGTGTGTCATGCTTCGTCCACTCGGTGCCAGCCTTCAGATCATCCCCCGAAACATGTCGCTGACGCAAGGCAAATATGTTGTTCTTGACATTCAGGCTTCACATTTCTTTGCTTTGCAGCACATAGAAGGTTTTGCGATTAAAATGGATGGTGACGACAAGGTTGAAGTATCCATCGGCATGCTATCCTCTATGATGTTGAATCCACGGTACTATTTCTTCAAGGTTGTCCTGGGCATCCCTTCCTCTTCAACTTTGCTTCAGGTGCCGTATTCCATTTCTGGAGGAGCCTTAGCTCGGAAAGTGTATTCGACCCAACTCACCAAATGCCCTTGTGGACACCGTTCCTTTTCCAAAGGGCATGATGTGGCAGCTGTGGTGTACACCTTGGCAGGTCCATGTGAAACGACTGTACGCACCATGCGTTGCAATGCCTATGGGCGCCGCACAACTTTTGGACCTAACTTCCTGCTGGATGATGGAAAGAAGATCAACACAGCCACTTTGGAGAATGTCCCGGATGTTCTGTTTGTGAACAACAAGCTTGGCTTCTCCTTGGATTATTTGAAATATCATTCAGCCTTGGAATTTCGAGGCTTCTTGGCCGCTCGAGCCATAGAGGCTGCTTACAAATCAGTTTTTGACCATGAGCACAGTGAAGTTCGCTTCCGTGCAATGCACGCAGACTGTGTCATGTACTGGCTGGCTTTGCAGGAGCTCTCATTGATTGGGTGCGAGAAAGACATTGTCATTGGAGATGAAATCTCAGAGGCTGCGCTCCGCAAGTATGATGACTATGTGCACAAGGTTGCTTTCCCACCCAAAAAGAGGGCATCAGTGACTGAACTTGTCGGAGATGGTCACTCGAAGGTCCACATCAAATGTGGCGAAACTACCACACATGCAGGACGACCTCGGAAAGACGGTTCTTTGAAACCCTTTGGGCATGGATGGTTCATGCTAGTCAACCCGCAGGATCAACGGATTCTTTGTGTGGTTGCCATGGACAAGCCGGAGAACAACCCAGTGGTCCAGAAGTCGTTGGAGAAAGTCTTGCCTCTGTACCAGAAAGTCAATGGATTCATCATGGACCGTGTCTGTGGTTTCGCACCGACTCATGCAAGTAAGAAGTCCCTCTCCCAAATCAAATATTGGAGCCTTGACAAGTTCCACGCCCACAGGCACAAGAAGACTTGCGTGTACAATCCACTCTACGTCAAGCGTTTGTCTCGGCGATTTGCGAAGACAAATACGTCGGCTTGCGAACAAGTTTTCTCTTGGTTTCGCAATTATGCACGGATTTTGAATGAGGCACGTGCAATTCGCCACACTTTTAAGGTGCTGTACTTTTCCAAATTGCACAACCAAGCTGTGGCTGAAAACAAGGCCAGCTACTTGAACAAGTTCAAGAAAGCTGTGTCTAAGGTAAGCAAAGCATATGCTTGCTAGAACTAGATTTTGGAACAGAACTAGCGCGGAAAAATGAGATGTCTTAGCGCCAACTCCTTGCTTGCATTGTCTGCAGCAGATGATTTGACTGTGGTAGTATCCTTATGCATTCTTCCAAAAATCATCTTCTTTACTGTCATGCTGGCTCTGACAAAAGAAAGTAGAAACACATCTTGCAACTGCATCATCTGCTTCCAATCATCTGGAAATGCCTCACATCTGTACATTAACAAACAATAAGCTAGAAATCATTAAAAAACCTATGAATTAAAAACCCACCCCCCAGCGCAATCCGCTCTCTTCCAAAATCTCGGCTTGATGTTTCAATTGCATTTGATGAATCACATCACTAGCTTGGGATTCCAACTGACTTACCCTCGAGTTGGCATGATCTATAGCTATCTGTGCATTGGCCTGGTTCTCCCGGACGGTTGCACTGGCTTCCGACTGAAACGCACTCACCATTTGTTGAGCCTGGGATTCAACGGATTGAACATGTGTTATGCTTGGATCTCGACCGCACGAACATGTTCCCTAGCTTGCTGTTCAAGTGCCTGGACCTGTGACTGTGCAGTGCTT